AGCTTCAATTGACTCGTGATTTCAACCACGGAAAATACTGAAATCTCCACAAAATCCCCTTCAGATTTGTGATCAATGATCTTTCTCTTGATCTGTATATCAATATTTGTATATAACAGTTTGCATCGAATATATTTGAATATAGCGTCTTAAAAACATAGTTAAACAAAATTTGAGCCACACCCGGAGCATTCGACCTAAAGGTCTGATCCACAAGACAGTGGAGCAACGTAAGGAGATGAAGTCTCATGATAGCCAGCCATCAATAACTGGTTCATAAGCCATTTGTCCCTTCAAGATGCTGGAGCCGATATGCATCATTGGCTTGGAATGAGGATTTTCCAACACTCCTAGATGGATCCTTCGTATCCACCAACCCAGTTAAACGTTGGACATTCAATTTTCGTCTTCTCAATTGCGTAAACAACACGGTTATCGTGAGAACGGGGAGATAGGACTTTGTTGACAGTGACTGTATATGCATGGCCATGTGAAGGCGTTTTGAGAGGTAGAGTTGGCTTTTCTCATCCTCGGTCGTACCAGGGCATTTGAGGGCATCCCTGTGTTCTCCGGTATATACATCATGGACTTAGAGATGACATTTCTGAAGTCATAAATTACAGAGTTTATATCATAGTTTGGATGTGAATAACTCGTCTTCATGTTTAACCACTTAACTTAACCAATTTATACAAAATACATACGATACTTGGATTCTTATTGTAAGACACAATTTCTAGAACACATTTCTTTTTATCAGAAAGGAGTTTTGTGGAAATTTTAGTAATTTCTTAGTTGAATTCATGATTCAATTAAAGCTAGACCACCATGAAAAATCTAGAAGCACTGGATAACCGTTTCGTCCTATTATAGGACTCCTCAGCAATGCACATCCAAAAGATGTTATCAGTTATCTAAGTTCAAGACTAACAATTCTTCTACAATATTTAAACTGCCTAAAGCTCTTTTCAGACTGGCGGCCTTATTTCTGTATATTCAACGGTTTTTGTTTTACACGAACATTACGTTTTGAAGATTCTTATTGAATAATTAGAAGCAAAATGAATCTTCTAACATCACTTATTTTTCAGAATGTCCTTATAAGGTTGCCCATTTATCAATCAGATAGATCTTTTAGTCTTCATCAAATGAAATTTTGAAAATTCCTAGTTGTTGTACATATAATGACTAAAATAACCTCTGTAGTAGTAGCTATCAAGTCAAAGAATTATTCACTTATAGGAAGGATTTTAAATTAACTTAGTAGACTTCAAATTTCTATTCAGTACAGTTAGTGAAAAGTACTTCAGTCGTTAGAATTACAATCGTAACTGATAGCGTAATATACAGAACACGGATGGCGACAATCGAATGTATTTAGGCACAAATTACAAACTATCTCACTAAAATCTGATAACCATACAGTAAATAGTTAGTTTACAATATAACAATCAATTGCCTCAATCTCAACTGTTCCTTCTGTGAATATCAGTCCATCGTCTCTGATCTCATTGTTCAGGCATTTTCATGCCGATTGCTCTTCGTTCTTATTCTTTCCTTATCGATCTTCGAGTGAAATACATTCAATGCCTGACCATCACCATATACTACTTATATGGATATAAGTAATCCACACCACAATAGGAGTTAACCACTGTGATTAGATATTCATCATATTTGCTGTGATCTGCAAAACGCTTCTGTCAACCTTAGGAAAAATTCTGTTAATTTACTGATCAAAAATAAATGAACTGTTAGTTGAATTCACAATAAATTCTTTACAGGGATTCCAAGTTGTTGGTGCATGATGTATTCAGTGTGAACGTTTGTTGATAAAAAATCATGTCATTGGAACATGAGTTCAACAAGATTTCATCACTATTTTTACGTCTCTGGATGGCTGTAGTATGCATACTTTGATTACGGTGTTATTGTTTGGTGTTTGTTAGATGAGAAATCTACTATTCAATGAGTTACATTTAGTCAAATAAAAAAGGTTCTTTTTATGTCATCACTCGACATATGATTGCTCCTTGTAATGATTATATTGACTGTAAATTTATCCAGGTCTGTTCCATAAAAATTGTTAGTTTATAAATTGTTGGGGCGATCCTGCAAACTTCTCGCAATAGACATGAGAAGATCAGGAAACATTAAGAAGCATTTTATCCAATCAGCGTTCAATTAGAAGTTTTGCTAGAAATATCGCGAAAATGAAGAGTTACATGTAGAGGTTTTGATTGGCTGATTACTACACTGCTACTATTTTTGGTAGTATTCTAGAATTTTCAGGAACATCCAAGAACTTCTAAAATACTATAAAAACCTTATATTTTCTGTACATAAATGAACCTTTGGAGTAGAGTGCTTCTCGCATGTTTTGCTCCTTTTCTCTCGTGTTCAAGTCACTGTGTAGTTTTAGCTTGGGGGTTACGAGACTAGCTTAGGATCCGAGTATAGCGTTCAATCAGTAAGATGTATCATAAATGACCTCCATTTAACTAGGTTTTAAGGATGATTAATCAACTTGGTGTCTACAAACTTTGTAAAATTATTTTCCAGTATAAAACTTAAAAAGACAAGGGTCGGAAATGTAATCAAGTAATTTTAACAGATTTACTAACGTAGGGAAATGAGGATTTATTGCATTTTGGGTTATTTAATTCTTGGAATTTACAAATAAGCCAATATATGTTAGTAGTAACTATGCCGACTGTGAAGATCATACGAGTGACAGGGAATTTTTCCGAGCGGTATCTAAAGTTAGTTATACTTCAAGAGAGCTATAATTAAAGAATAATGTCATCTAGAGAACCGTTGCAAATCAGTAGATATTGGGTAACTGTTTTATCATAGACTGAAATTGCATACCGATGAGCTCCAGGAAACGTACCCTGGTTCTATAGTTCTGTGTAATAATGTTAAGCCACAGAGTCACAAAAATGGTCCACATTTCTATCTTCGACGTTTCAGATATCAAGAAAAGACAATGACAACTTGAAACAAGACTTTCTCTAATAGTGTACATGATAAGTGCGAAAATCCAAATACCTTAATCTAAAATCAAATAGCTTGTTCTTGTATTACAACAAGATATCTTCATATTCCACCATAATTCTTTGTTTAATCTTGTCTTCAGTTGTAATAATAAAATGGCATCACTTCCATTACGTTTTTGCACTCTTCAAATGTCATAGAAGTTTCCTTATTGCAAAGTTACAATTACACTTCATGTGCTCACTGGTCACTGGCTTCAAGAGGTATTTCATGGAGTTGTAGTACGAAACCGTGACCAATGGAGTTCAACCAGGTCTGTTGTGCTATAGTAAGTGATTGAAGGCAATGATGGACGGTGGCTCAATTTAATGGTTTGGTAATAATACAAGTCAGGTTTGTGCAACACTCAACTATGGTAATTTAGAAGTTAAAAAACTCCACTTCTGTAGCAGAAGTTATTTTCCTTACAATACAACTGAATGGAAAATGCCCGAAACCTGGAAATCCCCTGGAACATTTCTTATAGCACTTATATTTCATCCGGTTGCAAAAGAATAAGAAATGTTTATGCATCTACACGTTTGCAACGTATTTCATGTACGTCAGATATAGAAACAATTTGAATTACGGATTACTAATTGATGAAGCTTTTTAATCCGGGCGGATTTCTTAGACTGACTTCAAAGATATTCACAATACAGTTAATCCCTACCAGAATCCTCAACAATCAAAAGCATCTTCGGAAATGTCCCAAATTTCGCAACCAACAACAGGGGAAATATTGTTATTGATCGCTGATATTATAAATCAGTTTACCCATATTTTAACATTATAAACCCAACTTCAACTTCTACAAAAAAAATTCTCAAACTGTTATTCAGTTTTTGATATCTTTCTGATAATACCAATTACTATAATCCCCTTTTGCTTGATGTGAAGTACATATTATTAAAAAAAGTCTGATGCTACTCATCCATACTTGTCCTCCTTTTAAGCGCAGTTAATGATATTTACTTTCAATCCGATAGATAGTAAGGAATGTTGAACATTAAAATTATGTATGTCTGTTCAAGCTTTCAACTATGCAAATTAGAGAAGGAGTCTCTGAATATGACAGAAGACCTTACACGAGTTATGGTAACATATGGAAACCATAAGTACTATTGGGATATATATACATATACTGATCAACCACAAAATGTATACTTGCCATGATATATTCGTAATGGAAACAACTATAACTTTAAAGTAAGATTCAAGGCTGATTGAATATGACCTACATTCATTATTCAGTTGCATACTGACAACTTGACATGCAAAAATTACTTACGAGAATATAAACGTTCAAAACATAGACCAGTAGCTAGTCACGAGTTTTTTCTAAAAAGCGGTCAAATACTTTAAATTATCACCTGACTATGGATCAGGAGAATCATGGCAGACTATTATCATTCTACATGAATTCACATTCTCATTTTAAGGAACAGGATAGATATAATAGTCGAATCGTAGGATTGTCAATCCACGATCTCATACTCATTTGATACCGGTTTTCACATTGACTAACTACTAATTTTTAAAGCTTAATAAGTTAGTCATTTTTCAAAACAAACATCAAAATTATCGAAATTCTATTACATCATAACTTGACATGATCTTTTGTTATTGATTAATCAGAATGAAAATTTATTCATTATTCAATTATTTATGTATCATTGTTAGAAACGTGTCATATTTATGCATCGTTGACATAGATACAATAAAGATCCCATTACCAGTTTAAAAAATTTACCCCCAAATGCCCTGGTACTGTCGAGAGTGGAGGAAGTCACCTCTACCTCTCCAAATGCTCCAACGCAGCCACTGACAGTGAAGTCGTACTCACTACCTTCTCGTGATCGGGGGTTTCGCTTAAGTAATTGAGAGGAAAAACAGCGAATATCCGACGCTTTAACAGGGTTGGTGAATATTGAGGATACATCTAGGTGATTTGGAAAACCCTCATTCTAAACCAATGGTGCACATGGTCTCAAGGATACTGAAGAAACAAATGACGTATGAATTAATTATTGGTCCCCTTAAGAAAACCACTTACATCGGTTTGGGTACCCGAGTACTATCACGACCCGCACGCAAATCACTTGATTTGTGTGGCGCATATGTATTGGGTTCCCCCTTTTGTACCAATATTTATTTGCTCAAATAAATAATAAAATTAAAGACATTACATCAAATATATTTTTGTTTAAAATGAATTCAGTTACATGTTCTATTGTTCATTAATGATCTTTTCTTTAACTTTAACTAAATCCTTTCCATTTTCTTAAATGGAGAATATTTTGGCAAGATTTTTGAAATTCAAGAAACAATGTTTGAATAACATCCTAAATGAATAGAACAAATGAAAAATTTTTATTACCATTATTATTGTGGTATGTGGGCTACTTATATCCATATAAGTAGTATATGATGAAGGTCAGATATATAAAGTATTTTGGCAGAAAATCGATAAGGAACGGACAGGAATGAAACGCAATCGGTATAAAAATGCATAAACAATGAAATCAGAGACAATGAACTGATATTTGCCGAAGGAACAGTCAAGATTGAGATGATTGATAGTCTACAAATTAACTGTTTACTGTATGGTTATAAGAATTTAGTGAGATAGTCTGTAATTAGTGCCTTAAATACATTCAATCTTCCTAACTCGTGTTCTTTTTCGCTACAATATTACTATTACTACTATTAGCTTTATTCAATATTATATTCTTGATACAATATAGAATTCTCAGAACAAAGTATTTCTGTAGTTGAAATCATAAGTCAATTGAAGCTTGACCACCATGGAAAACCTGCAAGCACTGTACGGCTGTTTTGTTTTACTGTGTGACTCCTCAACAGTGAGCATTCACGATCTCGCCTCTCGAGATTCGAACCCAGAATTTATCAGTCTCGCGCTTGAGCGCTTAACCACTAGACAACTAAGCTAGCTGGTATCCAACAATGTTAATGTCTAACTTCAAGAAATCCAGGAAGTTGAGTAACCGTTCACCATTGTCTTCAGTGAGTTGATATCTTACAACAATGTATTTCAACAAGTTTCCTTTTCTTATTTCTTGATTGATGTTAGCATTTCCGGAAAAATGTTCGTACTTCTAAATGAATATTGATAGCTATCACGAAGTTGTCGATCATAAATTTTTGTAACTTGTACAATGAAAGGTTGTACACTTTTCAGAAACTCATCTGAATAGTTTATGCAATTAATAGACATAATGATGTATTAAAACAAACAAAAGAAATAGATAACTTGTTGAAATATCTAAATGGCAGGAACAGGTATCTCAAATATTCAAGTACGCCACAGATTTTATTAAACAATAATTAACAAAAGAATGAAAGTTCAATGATTAGAATTATTCATTTCGGTTATCTAGATTATTATCGTATTCTGATATATAAGGTAATATGTACTTAAATTCAAACCTCATTCAATATACAACGAGATCATGAACAAGTACTTTTTGTAAGAAAGTTTTCCATTACGAAAAGTAGATTGCAATAGTTTTTCAGAAGATCAAGTGAGTTTCAGTTAATTTCGTTCGTATATATAAAATGTGTAAAAACAGAGCTTACAAGAAAGTATCTTGGAAGTGGATACAAAACACTTATTGAGGAAATGATCAAACTGTATCACGAGGCAAGCGTTAACTTGAAATCCTGAAGGGAAACGGTAAACAGGAAGACCGAAGAACACACTACATCAGGAATTGGATCAATTGCAACTGGAAACAACTGGAAAGGATTGATCAGGACAGAGGTAGATAGAGAATTTTGATTAGTGGCCTATGTTCATCCATAAACGTTAACAGGCACAAGTAAGTAAGTAAGTAAGTTACAAGAAAGATAACTGACATTTGTGCACACCGTCCTTTAAAAGGAACTTTTCTTGGAACAGTGAATGTATGGTCACATTTTTTTTGTCTTTCTCTTCAATAATAATGATGTAAAAGTGTTACGCAACTGCTTTTTAACCCATTGTACAATGAACTAATAAGCTATGAAAAAGTATTGTTCTGATATCGGTGAACATGGATGCAAGTGATTGATCAAAAATACATATGAAACAAAAACATCTTAAAATGATGGTGTCAGCTACAGTTGTACTCTCAGTGATTACCAGTCTCGACATCTATGTGTGTAATAATCAAATAGAATAACAACATAAAGTTCAAGGAAAAATTAGATGGTAGGTTACTTAAAATAGTTAACTTACCATAATCTCTCAGTGAAATCACTAAAATTCAATTTTTTTCGATAAACGGGTATAGAAGGATAATGAATTGTAATTAATCTGCTTATTTGTAGTACATTTAGGTATGCCATTTGTTCCTTCAAGATGCTGGAGCCGATGTGCACCATTGGTTTGGAATGAGGGTTTTTCAACTACCTTAGATGTATCCTCAATATTCCCTAACGCCGGTTAAAGCTCAGGATATTCTCTATTCGTCCTCTCAATTTCGCAAACAGCATTCGCACCGCGAGATGGCAGTGATAGGTGTGGCCATGTGAGAGCGTTTGATGAAGGAGAGCTGACTCTCTCCACTCTCGACAATACCAGGGTATTTGGGAACCTTGTAGAAAAGCTTATCTTGTGATAACAAATTCTCTAGCGATTCTAATTTTCATTTCTATTCATTTCCTATGCATAACCTTTCATTCTAGGTCATCTGAGATAGTCCGACTTATTTCTATTTCAAATGATAAAACCCAATGTTTAGTCAGTAAAACTGCCTGATTTATTGACACATTACAAAGGCTTAATTCGTCGAGAAATATTCAGTTTTATATAGTTGAGATCATGAATCAATTGAAGCTAGACCATCATGGAATACCTGGAAGCACTGGACGGCCGTTTCGTCCTATTTTGGGACTCCTCCACAAAACCCCCTTCAAATATTCAATTCTTAAGATTGTCCAAATATTATGTTTGTAATAGAAGACAGACATCATATATTTTGCATTGGTATGCATTCTGAACAATATTTAAACCCAAATTAACGAAACCATGATCACTGACTAAAATTGATATTCAGTAACAGTCGAATAACTAAACTTGTTATAAGTACCTAACTGTTTAATGCAATAAATGGTACCAGTTTACCATTTGTAGTTCATCTCCTTTCTATATTGTTTAACCTTAGATACCGTGGAGCAAAGTTAATATCTAGACAATTAATAAAGCTAATCAGAAGGGGGTTTTGTGAAGATTTCAGTAATTTTATATTGTTGAAATCATGAGTCAATGGAAGCTAGACCACCATGGATCGTGGATGCTCACTGTTGATGAGTCCCACAATAGGACGAAACGGTCGTCCAGTACTTCCAGGTTTTCCATAGGTGATCTAGCTTCAATTAACTCATGATCTCAACTATATAAAATTATGAAACCTGTCTATCGCATATTCCTTAAAGAGAAATGTATGTTATATTATGATATAATAAAAGAGCATAAATGGAAATAACCAAATATTTAATGTCTACTAACCTGTTCTGAGGGGGATTATATTCTATAGAATAAACATGAAATTGCAATTTTACAGAGAATTAGTGAACTCAATGAATGAGATTAAATCGTTTTATTTAAATGGTACTCAGACCAGGATCTATTTCTGTTACTATGTGATATTATTATTCTTTACATAGAAACAATTTATTGATTTAAATTCATTTAGTATTGTTTGTTTGAATCTTCTCATCGATGTGTTAGGACTGCAACTGGTCAGTCTCTAATTGGTATATGTGCATATTGTGCGTATTGCTTCGATATAGCTTTAATTCACAAGCATTGTAAGCAATGATGGATAGTGGCTAGTAGTGGGGTCCAGAACGCGCGTCCTGGATAACGTGATGGCGTTTGAAGTGAAAGGTACTGGTTTCAAGTTCCAGAGTGAACATCAACTCTGAGATGCAGGTACATTCAGATGACGAGTCCTAAATAGGACGAAACGTGCGTGGTGTATTCCACTGCTAGCCACTATCCATCTTTACTTACAATTTATTAATTTGTTTTATTGAAAAATAATTTTACATAGTTTATATATTGCAATTCATTAAAATAGAATAAATTGTGAATCATTTCAGTATATAAATGATCTAGTTATACCTTCTTCTCCAAAAATACTGTTGACTGTAAAGTATAATAACAAACAAAACAATAATGATTCCGGTTTGAGAATGATTGTTATATAAAGAAGGCTTGTGGAGATTATAATTTATGGATGAGTTTAATCAGAAACGTCTGAGGAATTTCAAGATCATGACGCCGATTTCATTGCCTGGTACTCAATTACTATTGGTTCACAGTGGATTTTAGAGAAGACTTGATCATTGAGTGCCTACAACGAATGGGACTACTAAGAAGTTCTTCTATATGTTATTTCGGTAATCAAATGACTTGTGGATCTTGTGTAGACCACCGTGATGATGCTGTCTTCCGATATAACATGTGTTGGAGGAAGCATTCTGTTAGAATAGGGACTCTTTGCACTCGATCCAGATTGAGAATAAGGCAAATTATGGTAACTGTTGCGAACTGGATAATAAAAGCGCCAGTAACATTGACTGCAACATTTGTAGATGTTACTGTGAAGCTTCAGCTATGATATGAGTATTGTAGTGATATATGCGCTATAAAAACGCCAAGCTTACACAATGTATTTGGAAGAGTCATTAGAATCGTTGAAATAAACGAAACAGTAGTCAGAAAACGAAAATTCAACAGAGGACGTAGTTTTGAAGCAGACTGGATAAGTAGCACTTCCATGAATAAATATTACAGGTCCTTGGAATATACGACATGTCATCTCAAGAGGCACACTTCCAATGGGTTACGAACCGACAGCCTACAACGGTAGTACCAATTATACGGAAATATGTCCAGCCCGGTACTACAATATATACGGATGATTGGATAGCGTACAGATGCCTACATAGACTTGGTCATGTGCATCGTGTCGTTATCTACAAGTGGCACTTTGTGCACCCAACAACCAGAGTGCGCACAAACAATATTGAAGCTATGTGGTTGAGGCTGAACGAGTTTTTGGGACCTTTTCATGGCTCTAGAGGCAAACTATTATGGAGCTATATGGATGAATTACTCTAATATATGCATTACGATTTCAGAATCTTTGAACCTCTCTCTAACCCTGACAAGTTTTTGAACCATGTACAAGAATTGTATCCACTTTGATTATTTGGTTTTGTATCATATATTTTGACTGTATACTAACTATTCCCTGATTGGTTGGTATTTCTCAAGGTCACGTAAGGCTCTTTCAAAGGTCATCTATAAATTATAGTTTTGCCGCACATTGTTTATTCCAAATAGTATAGATGTACTTGCATGTGTTTCAGAATACAAAGAAACATGTTGTATTACGGTTGAATGTAAAATAGTCAGAATTTCCACTATTTTGTTTTAAACAATTCTTCTATGGTTATGCTCCCGGGTACAATGTTAGTTTTCGATATTAAAGGGTTTTATATAACTTCCTAGGAAACTACTTACATTTATTCATAATCCCTAGAATTTGTTTATCAAATAGAAAACATGAGATCATTAAAAAACATACATTTCTGGAACTTATTCTCATAATAAAATCGATCGGTCTGAGGTAACTATTAGTTAACTATCTTAGGGGAAATTTTTGACTATACATTCTTTTCATTGATTGATTTTCTGAGGTTGAACTAACTAAATCTAATACATGAGTTGAAACAAATCAACTATGAAAATACTGAAATCTCCACAAACCCCTTTTGATCCATAATCATATACTTACTAGTGACTGGCTTCAAGAGATGTTTTCTTGAGTTCTAGTGGGAAAGCAGTGACCAGTGGAGTTCAACCAAGTCTGTTGTAGAGATATCAACTCACTGAAGACAACTGGTGAACTGTTGCTCAGACATCGTGGATTGGTTGAAGTTAGACATTAACACCGTTGGATGACAGCAGGTTCAGCGGTCTATCGGTTAAGTGCTCGCGCGTGAAACTGGTAGGACCTGGGGTCGAAGCTCGTGAGGAGGGATCGTGGATGCTCACTGCTGAGCAGTCCCATAAAAGGACGAAACGACCGTCCAGTGCTTTCAGGTGTTCCATGGTGGTCTAGATTCAATTGACTCACACTTTCAACTATGAAAATACTGAAATCTCCACAAAACCTCCTCTGATCTAAAATCAATAATAAATGGTGATATCAATTAATTATATTGACTATCAGGACTCAGTAGTTAAGTGGATGGAGTTCGAAGCGAATGGTACTGGGTTCGAATCCCAGAGTGAACATCAACTCTGTGATATAGCGAGCTGATGAGTCTTGAATTGGGCGGAATGTGCGTCCTGGATTCCACTGTTAGCCACTATCCGTCTTTGCTTATATGTTGAATATTGTTATCGCTATAATGGAGATTGAGCAAAATGAAAAATATACATAAATCAGTGACCGTTATTAACTGTGAAAAGTATTTGATGCCTAAAGTTTCATGGTTTTTAATGAATGTAAAGTGTCATAAGTAAAAACAAAGAAATCTACGTTCAGAGCAATCTGTCAATAGGTTTTAACCATTAAAAAATATAAATCAACTAAGTTGAATGGATCGAATAGGATGTAGATTCATCATAGATTAGAATAAATAAATCATGAGACAGTGCAGATGGTGTACAGTATACCCAGATATCTTCTAGGTTTGTTAAATAAATTATTATTTGGATGCGCACTGCTGAGGAATCCCACAATAGGACAAAATAGCCGTCCATTGCTTCTAGGTTTACCCTGGTGGTCTAGCTTCATTTGACTCATGCTTTCAACTATGAAAATGCTAAATCTCTACAAAAATCCCCTTCGAAACAAATTATAGTTACTAGTAATATTATGATGATAAGTTCTCCTTATATGCGTTTGATTTTCGCGGTGAACCAATAATTTCAATGTTATGGTAGTCTTGTGGTCATAACTGTCATATTCGGTGTGAAATTTAAGTTGACGTTAAGTTAACGTATATCATTTCTTGAAAATGAAAGACTCACTTTCTTTCAGTGAGACTAAAAACAATTTAATCAATAAAAACTTCATATTAGGTACCAGTTAAAATAACCAGTAAGGTAGATTTAATAATGAAGTCAAAATGAACAATAAAAGGAAACTATGGAACCCTCTTCAGTGTCGTATCAGTTATACAACATAATTCTAAAAACTAATCAGAGTTTTAATTCACTTGGAATTGTTTACTTGAATTTTCTCATCAATGTTTAGGACTGTAACTGGTCGGTCTCTTACTGGCATATGTGCATCTTGTGCGTCTTGCCTCGATATAGCCTTAATTTGCAATCATTATAAGCAAACATGGATAGTGTCTAGTAGTGGAAGGCAATATCGAGGCAATACGAACAATATGCACTTACGCAATGAGAGATTGGTTAGTTCCAGTCCTAAACATCAATGTGAAGATTCAAGTAAACAATACCAAGCAAAGATAAAACCGTAGGTTTCGTCACATAAACTGACTGATTCATCAATAAATTCATTGAGAAATATTAAATCCTTAAACTTCACCCCATTGAAAAAGCAAGTGATTATCACGACTTAGTACCTAAGTGAATAACGCGATGGTGTTAGAAGGAAATGGCAATTTGTTCGAGTCAAGGAGTGAACATCAACCCTGAGATGCAGGTACATCCAGCTGACAAGTCTCAAATAGCATGAAACCCGCTTCCTGGATTCCGCTACTAGCCACTATCCATCTTTGTTTATAATCAGCGTTTTCCTAAAGAAATCGATTACAAACAATACTAAATAGCTAGCAAAACAAATAGTTCTGTACACAGACATGATGATCCAGACAATCAAGTGAATTCCACATCTAATGTTACTTACGACTTTCAGCCACAGCTGTGCTCGGGTTTGCTGAAATCGAACATAAACATCAAATTGACTTACTGTCAAGATAAAATTTATAAATAACTAAATGATTTCCAAACAAATATGAAATAGTTGAAATCGTGAGTCAATTGAAGCTAGACTACCATGGAAAACCTGGAAGCACTGGACGGTCGTTTCGTAATATCTATCATGAGACTCCTTCAAATGACTCACGCATTCAACTATGAAAATACTGAAATATCCACAAAACCCCTTCTGAATTATGAAATAGTTATGATTTTCAATCTGATGATCAAGTCAGTCAAAATAATTTATACTGAGACAGTCTAATATTCACTACCATAACACTTATTGCAGGCATCAGTTTTAAATTCGTTCGTTATTGAAGAATACTAAACATAGACTGATATTCATGATCAAGAATGAAGTACAGAACTCATTAATAAAACTATTGATTGAACGATACCATTTTATAGCTTATTTACATATTGTACTAATTAAATTGATAGCTTGAACAAGAATTTAGTTTAATTCTTATTCAACGATAATGTGTGCTATATCCTAGCGAAGACTTAAGTCTGGGTAACTTCCGGGACCTATGAATGAACGGTTATTCTATGTATATTCTTATTGTTTAACTATTGGGTAATTAGATTGTATATATCTATATTCATCTTATTATAAGCATCATTTTGATCTATTGATCATTATTATACGATTTATTGTTCCTAAACTATACTCAGTTTATTGATTATTGTCTCCCAGGTTCACAGCCACATTTGGCTTGATCTTGTAGAAATGTTATTTTCTGTTTGATGGTGTGATGTGGTCTGTCTGTCTAGTATATAAACTGAGTATGCTTGAAATAAACGATTCGCACAACAGAAGCTGTCATTGTTGTTCTGGACTCAATCGGATAAAGGACCAATAAGGACGCTAGATTATTCATAGTGATCGAACGTCATTGATTGTCACAATGTTAAGGTCGAAGAAGTCGTACTTCCATTGATGAATAATTCACGTGAATAAAAGCCGGATATAAAAACCATTAACGAATTAGGATACGTCCTTTGTTTATTTTGTAAAGTCATAACAATGTGAACTAGTTTTATATTCATAAACCATATTGTCAACACCATTAGTTAAGAAGATCAGTGAATTTTCATTACTTAGAAAGAATAAATTCATCATTGAATCTGATGAAAGATACAGTAGATGATTGAATATGGAAATTCGCTGACATAATATCTTGATGCTATTTGTTAATTACTTACAATGTTCAATTATCAATTCACTTGGTATTGTTTGATTGAATCTTCCCATTGATGTTTAGGACTGCAGTTGATCAGTTTCTTATTGGCCATATGTGCATACTGTGAGTATTGCCTCGATATAGCCTTGATTCAGAAGCATTCCAAGTAATGATAGATAGAGGCTAGCAGTGGAATACAGGACACGCGTTTCGTCTTATTCGGGACTCGTCAGCTGGATGTACCTGAATCTCACAGTTGATGTTCTCTTCAGGACTCGAACCCAGTACCGTTCACTTCAAATGTCATCGCGTTACCTACTTAACTACTGAGTTCTGATAGCCACTTACATGTGCAATGGGGTGAAGTTTAAATTTACTTGGTATTGTTTTGGTTGAAACTTCCCATTGATATTTAGGACTGCAATTGATCAGTCTCTTATTATGTCTCAATTATGTTAATGAAATTAGTCTTATTTATATAAATGTACCCGTTACTTACGATTATTATTATCCTTAGTCTTCGTTTCAGCTAATAATCAAAATTTAAATTTGATTAAGTAAACTGATAAACAACAACGTTGATCAATTTTAAGCTGTTCATAATGGGAAATTACTCAGAAATTTGTGTTCTGTTTGTTGTTTATGTTTCAATTCTATTAGGTAGAGCAAATCAAATATTCTTATTTTTTTTAAAAACTGAAGCAGCCCAAGTTTTCTGTTGATTTCCGACTATTATTTTCAGGAGAGAGAAGGCTCTTTACTCGAACACTATCAGTCGAGTGAGAGCTTATGGTGAACTGTCATCTGGTTTTACAACCTCAAGTGGTGCCCGTCAATGCTGTCTACTATCTCCATTTTTGTTTAGCTTCATCATACACCTATTTTACTGGAAATAACATTTTCATGGACTGAATTTTCAGGAATTGATCTCCTATCAGGAGGTTCACTTATCAACTTAGAATACGCAGATGACATAGTCCTGTTTGGTGAGGACGCTGATAAAATGTAGAGTCTTTTGGTAGCGCAAGGTAACAATACCAGGATGTTTGGAATGCGTTTCTACCCATCTAAATGTATATTCTTACACTAGAACTGGCCTGCTTCAACACCTGAACTAAGGATAGGGAGTGAAGCAGCTGAACGCGTCGACAACTTCACTTATCTTGGAAGTCTGATCGGCCCTAATGAGTTGTTGTCTGACGAAATCTCAGCACAGATTCAAAAGGCTCGTTTGGCTTTTGCCAACTTACGTCACCCATGGCGAAGACAAGATATCCGTCTATCAATTAAGGGACGAATATACTGCACAGCAGTTCTCTCTGTTCTACTTTACGGCTACGAAACGTGGCGATTAAGATTAGAAGATACTCGTAAGTTAATAGTATTTGACCACAGGTGCCTTACAAATATTGCTCGCATCTGCTGGTATCACCGGGTAAGTAATAGTGAAGCTAGACACAGAGTATTAAGGAATGATGGTAAACCAGTTGATGAGGCTGTGAATCTTCATCGACTGAGATGGTTGGCCCACGTGTTACGTATGCCTGAACACCGATTATCACGACGCGCAATGCTGACTAGTATTGGGGATGGTTGGAAGAGAGTTAGTGGTGACCACACCAAAACATGGCATCGGAGCATGAAGTCACTAACTTCTAGTCTGAGCCATGTTAGTAGATGCAGACTACTTGTTTGGGGTCCACACGGAACTAATGTATACTATATAGTGATAATCCCTTAAAAATATGCATGGATGCTACTAGAAGCTGTACTCAGAAGCGTATCAATTTAGTTCTTGTTAGTTCACTACAGTTATCTAATTATTAATCATGATAAATATTTCTCATCAGACTGAGTGATTAAACATTTTATGGTTCATTATGTTGATTGTTGTCGAGTGGTTTCATTCTCACTAATCAATCTGTTCATCAAAATATACTTACAACTACTATCTGAGGATCCAAACATGGAAGTCACTGAATGGGGAAATTAAAATAGCGATGTGCAGTTATTAAAAAAAGAAAACTATAATGGTCCTTCAGAGTATGTATGTATGCACGTTTTTGGGTGGAATAAAACAGCCAAATGGTCAGTATTTGTTTTTGCATTAAGATTGATTGTTTTCATCTGTCAAACTGAGGCAAAGTTAACCTAAGAAATCTATAGCAGATATGCCACTATGAGAAAAGTTGAGATATTTCAGTCCTAATATTGTGGTGATATTGGTCGACAGGATTATGCACAAATGGTCAGGAATTTTTTCGAAATTCCCCGCCCCAGTTTTGCTTTGAATGTGACTAACTACTGGTTTATACGTCATTTGTCCCATCAGGATCCTGGAACCCATGTGTATCATTGATTTGGAACCAGGGTTTTCCAACTCTCCTAGGTGGACTCTCCGCGTCCACCAGCCTGGTTAAAGCGCCGGACATTTTCTTTTCGTCCTTTCGATTTCGTAAACAACACCCCTGGTGCGAGAAGGCAATAAGTGGGACTTCCCTGACAGAGGCTGTATACGCGTGGCTGTGTGAGAGCATTTTGAGAGAGAGGGCGGGCGTTCTCCCTTATGATTCATTGATTGTTGTTGGATTACGTCGGTTTTGGTGTGGAATTATAGTTATTAGTCAGGATAATCACGTGTTCTTGATCTGAGTTGTGTTGAAGTCCTGTAGAGTAGACGACACTGGGAGGGAATCTAATGTAGATATTCGTCTAGGGTAAATTGACGTGCAATTCGTGTAAACAAGGAAAACGAGACCATTATGACAATAACTTTGACAGCCTACTATGGGATAGAATCAAAGGCACACAAAACAGACCGTTATAACAATTCACTTACCCGAATTCCACATACCTGAAAAATAATCTTGTTTATTACTAAACATCTAAATAATTGTTTATCTCATATGGTAAATTCATTAAAGGAATTTCAGCTTATAATTGAAGAAACTCATCGACTAAATTTCTTTGCTCAGTTAGGGTTCTATTAAAAGTCAGATAGCATTAGGAATCTGTCACTTGCCAGTTTAGAGCTAAACGCCAGTGCATACTCAAGCTCTCTTAAAGGATGTAAACTAAGATCTTCATTTCTCACAAAGTTCGCTCATTTATTGAACCGCTAGGTTTGAATACAATGGTACATATTCCCAAATTCAACGGACTCGGAGTATAAAGCTGGAACAATTTAAAGAGTTCCTGAGGTTAGAACTAAGACAGTATTCATCATTAGCATTAGGTCTGCAAATATGTCCCGTTGGATCCTAATCTGTTAGTTTAATAGTTAAACGGTCATCGTAAAATACTAAAAAGTCAGAATTAACAATAAAACTGTATGAACTCAGAGTAGCAAGGGGTGCTTTTGTTGTCTTTTCAAAAGCATCTTTACCGGTAGCAGATATTTTTAGAGGTTAAAAAATCTCCTAGACTTCCTATGTCACCGATAAATAAACACTGTACTCACTTAATTCATCTTTTCATTGATTGTTTGCATCTTCTCAATGTTGTATAGGAGTGAGAGTAATCAGTCTGTTATTTGAATATGTGCATTCTGTACGGATCATCACGATATTGCCTTAAGTCACAAACGTTATAAACAGAGATGGATTTTGGCTAGCTGTGGAGTCCAGGAAGCCTGTTTTATCCTATTTTGAACCCATCAGCTGTTTATAATGTTTGTGGCTTAAAGCAACATCGTTGTAATCCGCTTAGGATGCACACTTTCAATTAACAGATTGATCAGTTGCAGTTCTGAACATCAGTGGTAAAATTCAAACGACCAATACAAAAATGAATAAACTTCACTCCATTGCACAAGCTAATGGCTATCTGAACTCAGTAGCTAAGTGAGTTACGCGATGGGGTTAAAAGCAAACGGTACTGCGTTTGAGTTATGGAATGGACATCAACTCTGAGATGCACGTACATCTAACTGGCTGTAAGGATGGTCCACAGGTGAAGTTGAGGAAGCTCTAAGAAGCCCAGAAGCAGCCGGACATATTCCATCCAATCAGCTTTTAGAAGAATATTCTAGAATCCCTACATATAGCTTCCCTATTAGACAATGCTGATAACTCACTGTGTGCGGATTAGATAACTATAATGATGATTTCGTTTCTACTAAAAACTATAAATACCTGACAGTTTTGCACCATGATCGACACTGTTTGGAAAAACATTTCTTCTACTTGTCTTCTGTTTTCTGATTTGTAACTTTGGAGGGTTCTGGCGTTCGAGTGTTCAAGTATTACGCGACAGACTAAGAAATGTAAGTTCGACATATAACACTGTCGAGTCTCAAATAGTACAAAACGCACGTCCTGGATTTCACTGCTACCCACCATCCATTTATGTTTATACTATAGTCACTGCTTCATAAGATAAACAACACATCACCAATGCAAAAAGGTACTCATTTTAATAAAATATATGTTTGACAAAACTGTAGACGAAGGGAAATTAGTGGGGCTTTTTTAGTTGAGGCACTTTCCATATTCCACACAGACTTCTGTACGTATACAATCAAACTTCTAAATATCTAATTACAAAAACGCCTAATTTAATTATGTATTTTTTTCCGAAGTATGAATTACAATTCATGTCGACTGCATAAGTAGTCATTCGTTCACCATAGAAACCAACCATTAGCATCAAAATGTTTATTTTAAACAAAACTCACGTCTCCAAAATGATGCTATTATCAAAATTTGTCAAAACAATAACCTCAGTTAACTCGTTTAAATTAAGTAAAATTAAATCATCCTTAATATCAGCATTGAGTTGTGGAGCTTTTGATGGAGTTTTGTTCTCTGGGCTGAAAGGTTTGGTCGTGGAACTTTCACTGTTCTTCTGAATGACATCATCAGTACAAACTTCAGGTAGAAGTGAAGTGTTTGAATTTCTCCACATGTGGTTCATAGCTTGTCCTCCACACCTCAATGTTGATTGGTTCTTGTTGTTGTGGAGATTGTTAAGTTTAGATTGATCTCATGAATAAATCAATGTTAAATCATTATTGAAAACCTGGAAGCACTGAACGGCACACTGCTAAGGAGTCTCATGCTAGGACGAAACAGCCACCCGATGCTTGCAGGTCTTAAGTGGTGATCTAACATTAATCCATTCCCGATAAAAATCTAAACTCTGGTGTAGCTTTTGTCTTCTTCAGTTTATTTCAGTCATTTATAACCCCAACCAGTAAAATTGATCTGTATATGATTCATCTTACATTATAATTCATCTAATGTATAACGAATCCAGATGTAACTGAATTGAATACTTTACGCATTCATTTCTTTAGTTAATTTTTCCTAATTGAAATCCACCTTCTTTCTCACAGGAACATCATAGTCGACAATACATATGGTGAGACTATAATTTATGGATGAGTTTTGAGTGACGCTAGACTGACCTTGATAGTGTCCGCCTAATAACCAGGATCAAATGTGGGTTATAAACTTGTATGTATGATTAGAAGTTAGACATTAACACCGTTAGATGCTGGCGGGCTCAGTGGTCTAGTGGTGAAGCGCTCGCGCGTGAAACTGATAGGTCCTGGGTTCGGATCTCGTGAGGCGTGATCATGAATGCGCACTGCTGAGGAGTCCCATACTAGGATGAAACGGCTGTCCAGTGCTTCCAGGTTTCCCACGGTGGTCTAGCTTCAATTGATTCATGATCGCATTTATTAAAATTATAATTTACCGTTGATGATTAAGTTTAGAAATTAGATTTAGAGTTTTCATCGTGAACTGACATCAGCTATAATGTCAAAACTCCATTTATCCAAATGGATGAGTGAATTTCGAGCCGAAATCCGAGACCTGTTATCTTATGCGTGATTGATTCGTCCATCAATTATAGTGTCGCCGTAAATTAAATAATATATTTATAAATATCCTAATGAGTAGGAAAAAAGATTATCTGATGTTTCGTAACCCAGAGTAAGCCACTTCTTCAGAGAATAAGTAGGTATCTACAATGTTGTTATCAATGAAGAAAGTCCGAGGTTTGAAAATGAAAGTATACAGTTCATCTTTTTTCTTATTTCTTTTTGATTTTTCTTTATCATATCTTCAAATATTCTAATTAAATTAAACACCGTCTATTAGCATCAGAAGGGGTGTTTGTGGAAATTTTAGTAATTTTATAGTTGAGATCATGAATCTAGACCACCATGGAAAACATGGAAACGCTGGACTGCCGTTTCGTCCTAGTATGGGACTCCTCAGCAGTACGCATCCACGATCCCGCCTCGTGAGATTCGAACATGGGTTCATGATCTCAACTATAAAACTGTCTATTAGTGTCAAAAGAATTAATTCCTCATTGTAGAGTTTGGATTGTCATAAAAGAAAATGGAATGAAAGAAAGAACACAATTCATTTTTCGACTAAATAAATAACATACGTTGTTCTTGATGGACTGCAATGCAATCAAAATAATGATATCAGCATTAATTAAAATCTTATTTTAAATCTATCAAGATTCACACAGTTGGAACATACAAGAAATTTGAACGTTGGTATCATGATTCTACATATAAAAAACTTTGAAAAACGAACTATTCAGTATCACCATAGTTCATTAATAACGGATCAGCTAATATACTCATTGCATGTTCATTCTTACCTAAGGTTACACAAAGGAAAAAGCATGAACACCAAGATAATCACACTTAATGGAGAAACTCTAGAAGATGTGGATCCTTTCATGTACGTGGGAAGCATCATTGATGAACAAGGAGGATCTCATACAGACGTTAAGGCAAAGATTGGCAAAGCAAAGTCATCATTCCTACAGTTGAAGAACATATGGAACTCAAAACAATTGTCAACCAATATCAGAGTCAGAATCATCAATAAGAACGTCAAGAAAGTTCTACTGTACGGAACTGAAACGTGGAAAACTATTTCAACCATCGTCAAGAAGGTACAAGTATTTAAAAACAGTTGTCTACGTAAGGTACACAATATTGGTTAGCAGAATACCATCAACAACAGCGTTTTATGGGAGAGGAAAAACCAGCCTCCAGCTGGAGTGGAAATTAGGAAGAGACGTTAGAATTGGATAGGACATAAATTGAGGAAATCACTAAACTGCATCATAAGGCAAGCCTTAACTTTGAATCTGGATGGGAATCAGAACAGAGGAAGGCCAAATAACACACAATAGAAGCAGATATGAAAAGGATGAATAAAAAGTGGAAAGAACTGGAAAAGAATCGCCTAGGATAGTGCAATGCTGGTGGGCGTCCTATGCTCCTCCACGAGGAGTAACTGGCGTAAGTAATGTTCATTCTTATTACTTAACTTGCAAATAGCTTCATTATGACTCTAATTCATGTTATGTAGGAACTCATTCTAAATCAATCGTGAACATTGGCTCCTGGATCCTGAGGGAACAAATGGCCTGTGAACTAATCGTTAGTCACCGGCTACCATGGGATTGCATCTCTTGACGTGGCTCAACTTTCTTGTGGATTAGACCTTTAAGTCAAAGGTTCAAGGTGTGCCCCATAATAAAACCACCTGTTTCGGTTTGGGCACCCGGGCAGTATCCAAGCCCTCACACAAGTTGAATGATTTATGTGTTTCATATCTATTCAGTACCTCTTTGTACCAATGTCTATGTGTTTAAATAAATAAATAAATGATCAACTGTTGAGCATGGCAACTATATAACATTTATTATTATTCACTTATTGATTCTCTTGGATTATCAAGATCCTGAATTGATCGATTAAAAATGTTGATATTTGCTTCCAAGTTTAGTTTATTTTTTTTGTGTTAGTTATATCACTTACCTGGTGTAGTATTTTTCTTATCTTGAGATTGGTTAAACAAAAATAATGATTGTGATTTTAAATCAGCGACTTAAGAAAACTCTCATAAATACATGATTGATTCATATGGTAAACCTGAAATAATCACCATGTCAAGTCATATTCCAGATTTTGAAAATTATTCATGATCTGTAATATACTTCGTACTAGTTGATCATATAAATTCTACATTAAACGTGATCTAATCCTCTCCTGTATTCGTAATTCATAGTTTCAGCAAACTACCCAATTGTTACATTTAAAATCCAGTGACAGTTCAGCTTTATCCCTAATTCATAACACAATATCAAACACGTTTTCTGATTGATATTCATTTCATTTTTAAAGTAATGTTGAATTCGGGAGGGGTTTTGTGGAGACTTCAGTATTTTCATAGTTGAAATCATGAATCGATTGAAGCTAGATCACTATGGAAAACCTGTAAGCACTGGACGACCGTTTCGTACTATTGTGGGACTTCTCAGCAGTGCGCATTCACGAAACCCGCTCCCGCGAGCGAGATTCGAACCCAGGACCTATCAGTCTCGCGCGCGAGCACTTGACCGATAGACCATTGAGCCGGCATCCAACGGTGTTAATGTCTAACTTCAACCAATCCACGATGTTTGTGCAACCGTTCACCAATTATCTTCAGTGAGTTGTTATCTCACAACAGACCTGGTTGAACTCCACTGGTCACTGCTTCCCACTAGAACTACAGGACATGTATCTTGAAGTCAGTCACTTATGAGCATATGAATATAATCAGAAGGGGTTTTGTGGAGATTTCAGTATTTTCATAGTTGAATTCATGAATCGATTGAAGCTAGACCACTATGGAAAACCTAGAAGCACTAGACGGTCGTTTCATCCTAGTATGGGACTCCTCAGCAGTACATACCCATGATCCCACAAAACTCTTCTTTAATAATAATCTTGAATTATTTTATATAAACAAACTGCTCATTCGTATCTAAGTTCATCTCACTCATGTGTAACTATTTTCTAAATTTCACTAATTTCTAACTTCCACCTAAAGATGATTCATCAAGACATTAACTTGAAAGAAGCAACATAACACTGTATGATGATGTTCAACTTACTGACAGTTTGTGGTTTCACAGCTAAAATTCAAATAATAAGAAGAATCCTTATCGTACATATTCAATGTTCAATACAAATTTCGTTTCGTATATATTATAAATCATTATACAATAACTGAAGGCACATAGTATATCTATCATGGAATCAATGAATCAGTACTCATCATCCATCAGTTATATATTGAGTGCTTATTTTCAGGAATAAATAGACCTCATCACTTTCTATTTAAGGTAATCGTTATCACTTTGTAAACTGATGACATACCATATTTTAATTGTATATAAGTATATAAGTTTTTCAACTCATTGAAAATTTACTTTCAGACTAAAAGTATACATACATTGCACGAATTCATAAAAATGATTAAGCCATTTGGGTGTTTAGTTTAGGATCCTTCCGTGGTGTAGGTTACTTATATCCATATGAGTAGTATAAAACGACGGTAGTACATTGAATATATTTCAATAGAACATTCATAAGAAGAGAACGGAAACGGGACGCAACTGATATGAAACTGCATGAACAATTATAATCAGAGACTATGGATGGATAGTTGCAGAAGAAACAGTAAAATTGAGACAATTGATTGTTATTTCACAAATTGACTGTTTACTATATGGTTCTCATATTTTAATGAGACAGTCTGTATTGTTGCGCTGATACATTCGATTGTCCCCACCCATATTCTTGTTCACTACACCACTTAAAGGTGAATCATCAAGACATTAAGTTGAAAGAGGTAACATGACACTGTATGATGATGTTCAACTTACTGACAGTTTGTGGTTTCACAGCTAAAATTCAAATAATAAGAAGAATCCTTATCGTACATATTCAATGTTCAATACAAATTTCGTTTCGTATATATTATAAATCATTATACAATAACTGAAGGCACATAGTATATCTATCATGGAATCAATGAATCAGTACTCATCATCCATCAGTTATATATTGAGTGCTTATTTTCAGGAATAAATAGACCTCATCACTTTCTATTTAAGGTAATCGTTATCACTTTGTAGACTGAGGACATAACATATTTTAATTGTATATAAGTATATAAGTTTTTCAACTCATTGAAAATTTACTTTCAGACTAAAAGTATACATACATTGCACGAATTCATAAAAATGATTAAGTCATTTACGTGTTTAGTTTAGGATCCTTCCGTGGTGTAGGTTACTTATATCCATATGAGTAGTATAAAACGACGGTAGTACATTGAATATATTTCAATAGAACATTCATAAGAAGAGAACGGAAACGGGACGCAATTGATATGAAACTGCATGAACAATAATAATTGGTGACTATGGACTGATGTTTGCAGAAGAAATGGTCAAGAGTGAGACAAGTGACTAATAGTTTGCAAATTAAATGTTTACTATATGGGAGGCAAAACCCGACTCACACGTCCTTGTCGTGTTTCCTGGATCATGGGGTCATTTCCATAAATTAACATGAGCGGTAACCCGAGTGGTGGAGATCAACCTAATCATCCACTCTACGTATACCCACAAATGATTACGATTGCTACAAAGAATCATTGCATAATTATGGTTGGTTCAAAAAGAAAGAAAGAATGAGTCTGTATGATAGTCAGATTTTACTGAGATATTCTGTACATGTGTGCTTCAATACATTCGACTGTCCCCACCCGTATTCTGTTCACTACACTTCTATTACATTAATGAAGATTTATTACATAAGTCCATCATGAAAATGAATTGATGTTCATGTATCAAGTATTCATTCAAATGTGATCTTAATAAGTGAAATAGATCTCAAATCATGTTCCTAATTGACATTTATGTTATATACTTCAACAAAACTATCGCTTGTTGTATTACTACGGTCTTACCTACAGTAGGTTCTATAAGATTTAGATACATACAGATTATGTGATTATGGTATTTAATACAGATATGTTAACATGAACATAATTGTGTATTCATTATGAAATATAAAATGTAATTGAGCATATGGCTGTCAAATGTATCAGTTCAATTCTATTAGTTAACTCATGCTCAGTTGTTTGATTAATATGAATAGCTTATACCGTGAATTTTCTCAATATTCCATTGTTTGATTTTCTATTTATCTATCTATCTATCTATCTATCTATCTATCTATCTATCTATCTATCTATCTATCTATCTATCTATCTATCTATCTATCTATCTATCTATCTATCTATCTATCTATCTATCTATCTATCTATCTATCTATCTATCTATCTATCTATCTATCTGTCCACACATCCATCTATCTATCTACCTATCTATCTTTCCATGTCTCTCCATCTATCCATCTATCTATCTATCTATCTATCTATCTATCTATCTATCTATTTGTTAGTCATATTCTATTACTATATTGAGATGCGCCGACTAATTAACACCCTGGAAAGTTTGTATTCATATCAATACAATATATATTAGACCAGTTCCATACAGTGCAAGTTGGACTTCACTAAAATACATTTGCTGTGTATTCTATTGTCAGTGTTATTTCTATTCTAATACAATCTGTTGAAGATTCTACGCTCCAGTATTAATATGAGTAACAATGCAAGTACAAACAGGTCTAAATCTGGTGTCAATCGTATACTACTTTCTTTCTAGTTCATTCAGTAGTGTCCATTCAATCAAATTATTCATTAATTGTTTATTATTACTGTATATGTTAGTGAATTCAATTACTGAAGTACACATTGAAGAACATCATTAATCTACTTCTTATTGAGTACATTTGTCCTCTATCATCGATCATAAAGACAACGAATATAACAATGATGTTAAAATATTAATCAAAAGTAATATGTTTATCAGTTGGTGAGTAACATCTATCTCCAGTCTATTTGATTGTATAAGAGAGGTTGTTATTATAGTGAGTGAAAAAATAATATGTCGACTCACTTAGAACTGCACCGGCTGAAATAAACCAATCGATCAATTAAACGGTAACAATCAGTCACTAAATATACAAGACATTTTACATGCAACCTCATTTTTCCTGATGAACGTCATACAAGACAGATTGTCACTTTAAATACTACTACTTTACCGATATGTTTCCGATCATGATGAGATTTCTTGTATTATTTAATCTACCAAATGACATTTTGTTTACTCAAACAAAGCGTTCATTTGTCAACAGTTCGCAAGTTTGTGGATCAGGTCTCTCATTTATAGAACCTTCTGACATGTTGAAACTATTGCCTGCTTGTTCCTGTTATATCCCGAAGAGAATTATGAATGATGACTTTGAGAACTGTTTCTGTACTAATATGATACATATATTTTTATTGTACAGTCATTAACTGACTAAACTATTCATATTCGCATCCCTCTTGTTATAAGCTTTATTTTGACTTATGAACTATTATTATACGATTTACAATTCTTGAGTTATGCCCTGTCTATTAATTACTGTCACCTCTATCCACAGCCACATTTGGCTGGATCTTTTACAAATGTTGTTATCCTATTTTATGGTACGATGTGGTCTGTTTGATTAGTGTATATACTCAGTATGTTTCAAATATAATGATTTATACCGCAGTGATTGTTCTGGACTTAACTAGCTGGGCTACTCATATAGCAGGACCAACAACTACTCTAGACTTCTCGTATGGTTTCTGTGTGTCATTTGGTCTGATCATCAGGTCATACGTTCACAGAGGCATCCACTTGGCCACAAGTTATAACATCCATCAACATAAATGAATAAACAACTTACCATTTATTTCAATTAAGCATATAACTATGCAGAATAAACCAAGCGTTACTGTATTCATAATTTTTAAATGAATATAATTAATGCCTATGAAACTTTTAATGAAACATTAACAATTTATAGGGGTATTCTAAAGTTTATTTAAACAATTTTATTGTTTACATTAGATTGATTTAAAATCAAACGGTTTTTCTCTTCTTTTCGGCTTCATAATACAAAAGTAAACAAGATTAAATTTCAATGAAAACATTAATAGAACAAAAGAAGCGGATCAGGAAGAAGAAGATGATGATGATGAAGAAGTAGAAGAAGAAGAAGAAGAAGAAGAAGAAGAAGAAGAAGAAGAACAGAAAGAAGTACAACACGAAGAACGAGTACAAAGTGTTAAACTATTCATTATTGAATAATCATACTTATTTATTTGTTTTGTATCTATTTATAGAAGTGGATAAAATTTCTGAATTTGATCATTATTTATTTCATAACTAAATTATTATTTATTCTTATCGGAAAGGGTTTTTGTGGAGATTTAATATTTTCATAGTTGAAAGAGTGAGTCAATTGAAGCTAGACCACTGCAGAAAACCTGGAAGCACTGAACGTCCATTTCGTCTTACTGTAGGAATTCTCATCAGTTCTCATCCACGGTCCCACCTCGCAAGATTCGAACTCAGGACTTATCAGTCCGTTTCATCTTATTAGTGGTTCGAATCTTGCAAGGTGGGATCGTGGATGAGCACTGCTGAGGAGTCCCATAACAGGACGAAACGGTCGTCCAGTGCTTACAGGTTCCCCTGGTGGTCTAGCTTCAATTGATTCATGATTTCAACATTTGGTTATGTCTGCCTGTGTTCTCGTTTTCTACAATAGTATTAATAACAATATGTATTCGATCATTTCTGTATGATTATGGTCAATGCTCATCTCAAATTCAGATTTATTATACATGGTTTAAAGCAATTAGTCTCTTTGATAAATTTCTATAGTGTAATAAGAAGACGAAGATTATCAGAACTATGTGATGAGATACTAACGCAATACATTTCGAACAATCTAATCACACATATACTTGTGAAGAACATTTATATATATGAAGAGGGTTTTGTGGAGATTTTAGTAATTTTATATAATTGAGATCATGACTTAATCCAAGCTAGACCGCCATGGAAAACCTGGAAGCACTGGACGGTCGTTTCGTCTTATTATGGGACTCCTCAGTAGTGCGCACCCACGATCCCGCCTCACGAGCTTCGACCCCAGGACCTATCAGTCTCGTGCCAGAGCACTTTAACCGATAGACCACTGAACCGGCATCCAACGATGTTAATGTCTAACTTCAACCAATCCACGAAATTGAGAAACCATTGATCAATGTCTTCAGTGAGTTGATATCTCCCAACAGACCTGGTTGAACTCCAATGGTTACGGCTTCTCACTAAAAATAAAAGATCAACTAGACTGGAAATGTTGGGGCGGGCAAGAGGATACAAAGATAATAATAATTATTATTATTGCACTATCGAAATACATGGTTTAACTATATTAAGATAATCTCATTTCATTCATACTTTCGCAACACACAGATACCATTCAACAATGATTACAAATTAGTCGAAATAATGTATAAGATGTTGCTCATAGAAAATAAACAAGTGGATTGAAAGTGTTTTTCTTACAAATGAAACTTATTCTTGTGTTGTTTGGATATCAAAAAGGTTTTTCCACAAATGTCTCCATTAGAACTTTATTTCAGTAGAAATATAATCTAATTATAATACCAATAAAAGTGAAACTTTTCGAATGATGTATCAGTAATGTTGATTACAAATACAAATACTTACTATCTCCGTTACTAAAATTAGAGATGAGGAAAACAAACCTTCCATTGGATATCCAGTTTGTATTATAAATCTCTATTTAAACTTTTCTTCCTTAAGTTGTTTAAAAGCATGATTTCGTTAAATAAGAAAAGTGTACGATTTAGAAAACTATGTCAGCTAAAAATAGTGTTTCACGAGATCTTGATATAGTTGGATATTTAATTCAATTTAAGTGTAGTTACTAGATGATTGCCAGAATTATTCATAAAGTAATTTGATGCAAAGTTGAACTGATGAATGAAACTCAGTCACTCCACTTGATAGCATTTGAAACACAAACTATTTTGGTAAGGAAAGATTTAAAAGTGTACGATTCATCTTTATCCCTTAGAATAATACATGATCCATACTAAAGAGACATAAACTAGATCCTTCTACTCAATAACCCTAGAACGAACCAAAAATGAAAATTAGTTCCTTACGCCTGTTACCCCTCATGGAGGAGCGTACGTTGTAGTATCAGTTTATATGTTAAGCCCATATACTTTATTCTAGTTACTGGCCAAGCCAATTCGCCTATCCATTATGAGTCATATTTTGTTAATCATTTGCTTATTAACCTTGACTACCTTGTTATATGAGCGCATGTGTATGTACCCTTCTTATCCTACCTATCACATGTCTGTAATTCATTTTAGTCTGACTGTAAATGTTGATTAATGCTTGCTTATAACGAGTTGGCTTACCAGCCATCTCCCATGCATGTCATTTCCGCCTCGTTCGCTTCCTTCGCTTATTCGCCTATTCACTGGCTCGTTATTATTCGCTCAGGTGTTGCTAACTTTCTGACCTGAGTTATTCGACAATAAACTGTATTTGCTGCTATCCATTGTCTTCTGATTTTACGCGCCTTTAAGATTAGAATTACAACGGTTATCGAAGTAAACGATTAACGAATCGCGGCACTACAACGTCACCTACCAGCATTATTCATTAAAATTTGTCCTTCAAACTCTTTTCCACCTGTTTCCAGATGCAATTCCTCCTTTTGACGTCTGCTTCAAAATTACTTCACAATGTGTTCCCTGGTTTTTCACTCTTACGTTTTCCTTCAAGATTCTAAGTTAGGGCATACTTCATGATGCAGTTTGATGATGTCCTCAATGTATATCCTGTACATTTCCAACATCTTTTCCAAATTTTCTCTTCATCTGGAAGTTGGTTTGTTCTTTCATACAGTAGGTTGTTGCTGATGATATACGGCAAACGAACATAAAAATAATGTTGATCCGATCAACATAAACAAAATAAGTCGTCGACAAACAAACAAGGTATAAAAAGGTCGTATTAAGGGTGACTTACAAATAATGACTCGTTATTTAATAAGTCAACAATACTGCATTAGCGGACAAAATTAGATAGCTAAAAGATAGCCGACAACCTCGCTTTGAAACTCAAACATTACAGATAAAATATTTATCTATTTGCTTGTTGTGGTAAATAAATCCCTGAAATCAATAGCTCTGTAACTTTTCAGAATTTAGTACTGATGTGATATGGTACAACAATTTTTAAACTGTGAAACTTCATACATCGTTTCTTCACTTTGGTTTTTACATATTATGATACACATTTTAGTAATTTTGAAAATTTTTCTCGTTCATCGTCATACTACACATTCATCATGACCGAATAGACTCTTAAATTATTTAAGATCAAGACTCTTTCGCCACCCTCATTTCAGCTAGTGCCATTTCCTCCTGACAACATCGAGGCCTGATTTTGCTACTCAGGAGTCGACTTCCACGAGGACAGGCTCACTTGCACAGTTCCTTAGGGTAGTGAATGCATTACCGCGTAATTTCGACAGCTACGTCACATCTATGATGTTCGATAGTGATGTTCCGGAACCTTACGAAACTCTAAAATGGTCTATTCTTAAGCGTGGAGATTCACCCGATCGACCAATGTTAGATAAACTCTTCAAAAACATCGATTTACAATATGGCTCAACAACAGACATGTTACTACTAAATAGAGATTATAGGTTGAGGAGCCTTTGACAAGAGTTTGTTTAGGCACTTTTTCTTGTCTAGGCTTGCCCATCGGGTGCAAACCGACCTTGTCTCATATCAAAACAACGCTGTAGATGAAATGGCTGCATCTGCCAACCAAATTCTGTAGATCACAAGAACTCCGAGTGCCAAGGTCTATTCAGTCAAAGATAAGCCTCAATAAACACGAGGTGACTTTATGGACGTCTGTCATACTCTGACACGTTACCTCAGTATACGTCATGACCTTAGACGCTCGCAAACTCTCCGTAGTTTTTTGAAAATCTATCTGTCTCTAGATCACGAGAGACAGATAACCCTGATTATTGCTGATATCACAATCAGTACGAAAAATCTTCTCGAAATGGTAGAAAACCCTGCAAGTTGCCGAGCCCCAAACCAACCAACATGAAAAACGCTTTGGGATATGTGCACCTTAACGTGAATTAACGCAAACCCATTCATTGGATCTTCCCTGTTGAAAATGTTTCAATCATTGGTACTGACCTGATACAACATTATAATTTACACATTCACACTCTCAAACGGAAATTAGTAAACATAAGTACCAATTCATCTGTTTGTGTAAATTCTTTTTCCGGTTGTGGGCTATCCATAGTCATAGTCTGGCATACGATAAATCCATGCTATCAAAGGAATACACGATAACCACCCCAAAATTGCCATATATAATCAGCAATGTTGCACATAACATCACGAATACAGAACCATCTGTATTCTCGAAAGCACGCCGACTGGCTCCCGAAGAGCTGAAGTTGGCCAAAAACGAATTTGACAATATGTTAGAGTTAGGAATAATTCGACCGTCAAACAGCTCATGAGTATATTCTTTGCACATGGTCCCTAAAAAGGACAACAGTGACTGGCGTCCAGCTGGTGATTTTCGGCGTTTGAATGCGCAAACCATTCCTGGTCGTAAGCGTTGACCCGCATTCACGATTTGATAGCTACCTTGAAAGGTAAAACTGTCTTTTCGAAAATCGACTTGTTTAAAGCCTATAATCAAATCCCTATGACTACTGAAGATATTCCAAAAACCACTGTCATCACGAATTTTAGCGAATGTCATTTGGCCTAAGAAATGCTACACAAACCTACTAAAAGTTCATCGATGACGTTTTTGAGGTCTTAACTTCGTACATGCGTATGTTGATGACTGCGTAATAGCAAGTCCGGACAGAAAATCCCATTTCCAGCATCTGGAC